TTCAGATCAGTGGTTTTGATCACGATAACAAACGAACTATATATAGAACAAGTTTTGCAACAATGAAGACAACACGTGCGATTTGCACATAATTTTGTGCAATTATGAAGTAAAATGTAATGAACAAGAGTTTTCATCTCAACATAACTTTCTTTTTTTAACTTTTAATTTTTTTATGATCAGTGTGATTTTTGGTTCTTTTTTCTTTTTTTTATTTCCACACCAGGTATGTGTGAGTGTGTGTATGTGTGTGTGTAGCTAATTAATTTGTAATATAGTTTTATACCACTACTTGCTTTTTAAAATTTTTTTTATGAAATACAGCAAGAAAGTGTCAGACACTCAGTGCGTGAAGTAAAAAAAACTGGTTAGAGCCAGCTGACGGTTTAAAAAAGAAAAAAAAATCTCCGACAGGCAGAGACGCGAGTCGCATTCTACCAAGCACCACGTCTGAACAAACCCCACGTTTACCAAAACTCTACTGGTTAATAAGTAAGTACTACAAACCAAAGTAAAAAACAAACCTGAAGCTGAAGAAACCCTAAACGTTAACGGAAAAAACCCGCAAACCTTAGTGACTGAGGGAGAGACAGAGAGAGAGAGCGCGCTATTCTCTTCTCTTCTCAGTGTTCTGTGTGTGAGTGAGCAGAGCGGGACACAGCAACACAATAAATCTGTATGTGTGTAGGGGAGGGGCGCTGTGACTAGTCTATCACAGAACGCAGACACAGTCAGCTACCCAATGAGAATTTTTATTCAATCCGAGCACAGATATTGACTCATATTACTCGTATGATACTCGTACTCGTCAAAAGTGCTTTATCCGTACCGGATACTCGTTTCAGCCGAGTATCCGGCTCAACTCTAGAGAATACTCTTGAGTATTGAAGGATATTTCTTGAATGTTATTGAATGTCTTTTTATTTATTTTGCTGGAGAAGTGCTGTGTGTAGCATATGGTCATTTATCAGTCTTTTAATTGAAATCCGTAAGGGAAGACTGGGCCTGTTGTGTTACATGCTAAAATTGTGTTATCTGTCATTGGAACTTGAATGTATTGGCTTAGTATGTGACACGGATTGGTAGAGGTAGTTAATATGTAATATACAGATTATATACAGAATATAATAGACTGCTGTTTCTTAACGCAGGTATTATTACCAATGATTTATGTTGACTACTTTGTCATGGTGTATTGTGATTCACAGGAAAAACACATTTAACTTTCTGTTGTTAACTTTTACAATTAATAAATTGGGGTTTGTGTTAGGACTTGGGGGTACTGCATTTCAAAATTCAGCAGTCCAGGACAAACCCAATCTATCTTATGCTTACGTGGTTACAGGAGGGCGGTGCTACACTTGCAGTTTTTAATTACTCTTATTTTAATTGTAATTTACTTGTAGTATTTAATTTTCCATGTAATTATTGCTAATACTAGATCTTATTTTATTTAAAGAACTTTGAATATCCTCTGTGTTTGAAAATGCCTTGCTTGGCCCTTAGTCTCCATCAGCCCACAGACTGCCCCATCAACCCACAGACTGCCCCATCAGCCCTCAGACTGGCCCTTCAGTGTCTTGACTGCCCAATCAGTCCACAGACCATCCCGTCAGTGTCCTGACAGCCCAATCAGCCCACAGACTGCCCCATTAGCCCACAGACTGGCCCTTCAGTGTCCTGACTGCCCAATCAGTCCACAGACCGTCCCGTCAGTGTCCTGACTGCCCAATTAGTCCGCAGACTGCCCCATCAATGCCCCGATTGCCCCATCAGCCCACAGACTGGCCCTTCAGTGTCCTGACTGCCCAATTAGTCCGCAGACTGCCCCATCAATGCCCCGATTGCCCCAGTGGTCCACAGACTGCCCCGCTAGTCCACACACAGCTCTGTGAATCCAATGAACACTAAATGGATCAGGCTTCTAAGCAAACAGCCCATCAAAGCATTTTTAACTCAAAAACTACATTGTTGAAGAATAATACTTTTGATTTGCAAGTTTTACTGCTTATTATCTTGTGGAAATTATTATTGCTGTTTTCGTGTGTCATATTCGCAGGGGTGCAATACATATACAGTCTTCCCTGACACAGAATTGGGGAAGTTATCCAAGTGTCAACACATTTGAACAGTTTTGTTGCAATTTTATGTTGTTGTGCAAGCTTCCCAACAGACTGCTTCAGAGTTTAGAGTCTGTGGGGTGATGGGTGGGGTCATACCTGCTCCTTGGTAGCCGAAGGAAGTTCAGCTTTTTTGAAGGTCTCCCCCCGATTGGAGGACACATAGATGACACGTGGCTCCCCCTGGTGGAAAGACCATAAAACAGCATTCTACTAACAGTCATGCTTGGGTGACATTTCTGTCCTTCCAGCTCCTTCTGTGTTTCCTACCAGTTTCTCCATGACAGAGGTGAATAAGAAACCCCCTATATAGCCAAAGGAGAAGATGCTTTCATGGACGGTGGTGAATGTCTTGCCCAGGTCTGTCGTCCTTTTCAGAAGCAGCTCTCCCCGTCTGCCTGCGTCCACTGTAAACCAGAGCCGACACTGTCTGACAGAAGCCAGCAGTGCTGCTTTTCACAGTAAAGGGATGCAGTGCTTACGGTCTGGTGAGTAAAGTGTTGCTTTTCGATTTTGTAGCACAATATTTACCCTTTAACTAGCTGCATATTCAATGTTAAACTGCAGTCAAGATGTGCCACATCAGATAAGTGCATCCACTAAGCAAGCACAATAAAAACGCACATTATGGTAAAGTGAGATTTTATCAGGCCCCAGATCTAGGAAGGTCACGGTGTCCAAAACTATTTAGCCCAGCACATCCTGGCCTGATCTTCTTGCTTCAATGGGTTGACAGAGGGAAAAGGTGAGAAGCCACAGCCTGTTTCTCAGGGAATGGAAAGTGCCACAAGAAAGGCAGGAGCTCACCTGTTCCCTCAAGGCTGGCACTAAAGAAGAGAGTGACGCCAGGACCCCTGAAGGAGAGAAGGGACAAGGAGAGAAACAAAGAGAAAGACAGAGTTTGGCAAGATGTTCTTGGTCATTCAGGCATGTTAAGAGAAATGAAAATGATTGTGAAGTAGTGGCACACCTGAATCTGTCAGCATATGTTTGGCCAGCTAAATTATTTATTCTACGAGAATTGTAAAAACACTCAGTCGAGTTAGGATCACGACTAAAAAGTACCTTTGGTATTTCTGAAACACTGGGTCTTACCACATGAATGAATGAACACCTTCATGGATTTTAGTCCAGTGTTCAGCAAAGTCCACAGACAGCCAGAGGGCAGCCTGCAAAGTCAAGGGAGGCACAAAACGCAGTCATCACACGTTCATCAAAGGGGCACGGAACACAGTCAACACACAGTCATCAAAGGGGCACGGAACACAGTCAACACACAGTCATCAAAGGGGCACGGAACACAGTCAACACACAGTCATCAAAGGGGCACGGAACACAGTCAACACACAG